GGGAGGGGGCCCCCCCAGGCGCGGGGAGCCCCCGGCCCTGCCAGCACCGCAGCACTGGGCTGGGCTGGAGTGTGGCCAGCCAGACTGTCCCGTGCCCCACCGGGGAGGGGACCAGGGGCATATTTCCATTTTTGGAGTATGTATAATGTCTGCGGCTATAAACAGGGCAGTAAAAATAACTCCTCTGTGCCTCTGGGCTGCCCTGAGATGCTGAGAGTCGCTCTGGGCTTGGTGAGACTGGAGCTTTTTAGGGCTTGGTCTGAAAAGCCCGATTATGGGAAGACTATTTCTGGCTGTTGTGACCTTTTTTTATGGCCCCTCGCAACCGCGTGGCCCTGCCAAGCACTGGCCGGCTCCGGCCGAGCCCTGGGCCTGTGGATGGAGGGGAGGGGTGGGATGGGGAGCGAAGGGCCAGCCCCGAGGGTGAGCCCCGTGCTGGGAGGGTGCAGGCAGGGGTGCCTGCACCCCTCTGCTCACCCCTGTGCCCCGTGCAGGTGGCCCAGCTGCTGCTGAACAGCCATCTGTGCGTCGCTCTCCTGGAGGGACAGTCCAAGGATGCCACCGACCCCAACTACACCACCCCACTGCACCTGGCAGCCAAGAACGGACACAAGGAGATCATCAGGTAACCCCCTGCCAGTCTGGGATGCTGCCCGATCCCAGAAAAACCCATCATGGCTTCAGGCCCACTTCCTCCCAAACCCACCTCCCTGCTGTGGGCTTTGGTCCCTTGTCCCCAAAGCCTCAGCAGTGCAAGGGGTCGTTCCCTTCCTGTTGCAAAGCAGCCGATCACCTGGCCCTGATGTCCATGTCCTCTCCCTCCTTCCTACCAGGCAGCTGCTGAAGGCCGGGATCGAGATCAACAAGCAGACGAAGACGGGCACAGCCCTGCACGAAGCCGCGCTCTACGGCAAAACGGAGGTGGTGCGGTTGCTGCTGGAGGTGAGCGCAATGGGGACAGGGCTGCACGGGGGGGATGGGACAAGCCCCTGCGGGGTCAGCCATCACCCCCTTCCCCTTGGTCCCTCTGTCTGCTGTGGGTCTGGTGGCAGGTGTGGGGTCTGGCCATGACCGCCGTCCTCTCCTGGGCAGGGCGGCGTCGACGTGAACATCAGGAACACCTATAACCAGACGGCGCTGGACATCGTGAACCAGTTCACCACCTCACATGCCAGCAAGGACATCAAGCAGCTGCTGAGAGGTGAGGTGGGGCCGGTGCGCAGCCATGCGCTGCGCGGCACTGAGAGGGGCTTTGTCCCCCTGAGACCTGCCTGGGGCTCCCAATACTCCTCCTGAACAGCCTACACCAGCCTGGCTGTGAGTGTCAGCACCCCAGTCCTGTCATACGTGCCCCATCCTCCATGTGGGCAACTGCAGGAACGTCCTTCCTGCAGTAGTAATGTTTTCTTCTCCCCTCTCCTTGCTCTTGTTTTCTCCTTCTGTCTTCCCTGAACTGCTCTCTTTCCTCCCTGTGCTCTGGCACCTTCTTTCTTCCCTCTGTCCCTTGTCTTCAGAGGCATCAGGAATCCTGAAGGTCCGAGCTTTGAAGGATTTTTGGAACCTCCACGACCCGACTGCTCTCAACGTGCGGGCAGGAGATGTCATTACGGTGAGGCTGCTCCCTGCTCCCCGTCTCCTTGCCCCACCATGGCCCCAGGTACCAACCCCATCCCTCTCATCCCCGCGGCAGGTCCTGGAGCAGCACTCGGATGGGCGATGGAAGGGGCACATCCACGATGTTCAGAAAGGCACTGATCGGGTCGGGTATTTCCCCCCCTCCATCGCTGAAGTCATCAGCAAGCGAACAGGTCAGTGGCCATCCTGGGCATGCTGGGGACAATCCGCTGTGTGAAACCATCCCGACCTCCCCGGCACTTCCTGTAGGACAGGTCCCCGCAGCCCTGGCTAGCTAGGGGGGAAGAGAAGGACACGGGTGGGCACAGGGGGTTGTGCCATTGGTGGGGTGGTAATTTGGGGGTTGAGGCTCAGATATCCCCCTGTGCTGCCTCCCACATGAGCTCTGACCACGCGTGTTTTGTCTTTGAATGCAGGCACGGTTGTCCCCCGCGTGGCACCCACGCACCAGCGCCAGGGTCCCCCCGGGACCCTCCCGGCCCCCCCCGGCGGGCTGCAGCACCTCCCTGACGAGTGTCCTCACCCAGCAGCCCCGAGCGTCCCAGCAGCCTATGGCCCCC